TAAAGTTACGTGCTAACTTTTACAATTTACACCTTGAGCAGGTGAAAGTACTTCATTATCAACCGTTCACAGTGAAATTGTCATCATGTGTCATGGACTCAAATAAAAAACTCTAGGAAGTCCCTGCACATAACAACTTCTACAGTAACCACAGCATGTTTTTACACTTTGGTTTTTGTAAGGTTTACACAAACGAGATATAACTCACTAATCACAGTGCTTGAAGGTGGATTTTGTTTTTGATTTGCTTGTTTCCACCTTGTTTTAGTCTTTATTCTAAGCTAAGCTAACCAGCTGCTGGGTGTAGCTCCACATACAGTGTGGACATGAAAGTAAATTCAAGATTATTTCCCAAAATGTTAAACTGTATTCTTTCTAAAGGTCCAGTGTGTGGGATTTAATGGTATGGTGGCTGAAACTGTAGAAACATGGTGGTTATTATTTATTATTATTATTATTATTATTATTATTATTATCAAGTCATTATAAATTAATGAATATTATATAACATTTTTGCCAATAGATTCTCCTAAATGAGAAACCTTTGAGACCGTGGCTGTTCTGGACAAACCACAGTGTGAATGTGCCTGTACTGTTGAAACTGCCTGATCCTTAAAGCTCCACTGGTACAAAATGTTCAGTATTTACACTGAGACAAATGATTTTGTGTTATGTGAAAGGTGCTGCTCACAGGACCCACTGAGAATTATTACCAGCTGAGCCCCTTCCACCTCATAGTACTTTTATGATTTCCTGTCTAAACTCAACGTTTGCAGCAGCAGCAAATCCTCCAATAAACCCACTGTACACCACCTGCCCAGCACCAAACAGCAGACAGACAATATGAATATATGTTTCCCTGAGTAGTTGGTGGAAACCAAACCAGAGGTAAAAGGAGATTCAGATTCATGGGATACATGACTCCAATTGGAGGATCATGTTGTTCTGTGTCTGCTGATAATCACATCACTTGGACTCGTTTGAGGTCACTAGAGTTCTTTCTATGAGCCGGCTCCTTTAAGTTAACGATGGGAGATGGTTACCAGTAAGCAGGCCCATTGGGGGTATTTGACAATCTGGAAATGAGCAATGAACAACCCCGAATCTTTCTCTATATGTAGGATCAGGAAGCACAATCGCATTCAGTAAAGTAATGAGACTTTGTTCCAGTGTGTACTAATCAATGTTCCTGTCCGTGCTGTTAGCTGCCTCATCTCCATTCGAACACAAATCACAAACTCTCGCAGGTATGCTGCTGACAAACACTTTATTTTCTCATTTGTTCACATATAAATACATTGTCTTATCTCGGCGCTTTAGAAGTGCTGATGGGGAGGAGTTTAATATAAAGTAGCGCTGTCTGACCTCACTGATAAATACATCGGAGACAGTTTAAATAGGCTGTATTGATCAGAAACAGACCACCCAGGGTTTTGAAACTGAAAAGCCATTATCAAAGTGTGCCAGTTCTCCACTCACTCTGCACAGTCACGCCTGTATTACACAGCCGATCAATAATGTTGATTAGTGTTGTGTAAATGTTGACGCTGCAACATGTTTTCCGTGTGGCGTATTAGTGCAGTGAGCAATCAGTGGAGGTTATTTATGAGCACATTACAGCATCTGGTGTTATGTTTTTTAAAATTCAGTTATCTGTGACTTACTGATGTTTTCAGTTTTTCACATCTTGAATCACCAGGAAGGGGGCACAGGGTTTTTTTACATGCTCATAGATCTTTTTTTTTTTTTTTGGGGGGGAAAGTAACGGTATTGAATTTGTCCCTTTACTGAGAACCCTTGGACCAATCAGAATGGAGTAGTCAGCCATAAGCCTATATGTACGAGATAATGCCCAAAATAATATATATATTTTTTTTTTTTACAAGCCATGACTCCATTTCCCTGGTAACACCTGAGGTATTTAATAATACCTGGAAGAATCATTACCATCCCATAAGGTTCAATGCAATGGAAACGTTCACTACTCCATTACATAGGACGAACCAGAGAGCTAACATTATGCTCGCAAGATTCAGAGTCATTCATTTCGAACTGTGAACTACTTAGTAGATGTCCTAGATCAGGAATTAACGGACATTCACCCAGACCATGGTATGATCCAATTATAAAAGAAACAGATACGGCAATGTATAACATAACTAATGAACAGAATGATGCGTACCGACCAGAATCAAAAGGAGTATCAATCTCCTGCATTGCAGTGGGTATTTGATCTTAAAAACCTTCAGTGAGAGTGAAATGGTTCAGACTTACTGCAACTTACATGTTGAGTGTGAATGTACAGTATATTACTTCATAAGCTGCTTGTTATTGTTTTGGAGTTTTCTTTGGTTATTTCCTGTTTTATTTTGTAGTTTTCCTCCAATTGTGTCTTGTTTTACTCCACGACCTGTCTTTGTCTGCCCCGCCTTGATTATTTCCACCTGTGTCTCGCTGTCCTTCTCCCTCACCTTTGTATGTAGTCTTCGTGAAAATATACATTCACAATGTTCATCTGTTTTCTGAAATAAACATGATTACAGCCTGTTTGGCGAGTCACTCTCCATATGGCCCCATACTAATATGTAGGGAAGTCCATTTCTGCCAATGTGACGAGGAGAAAAGAAAGGATTCTGTAGTCATTATAATAAGAAACTTTCTCCATATTTTGACTCGTCATAATTCATTATTTTGAGAAGGTTTCTTATTATGAATAAGATTCTTCTTAAAATTCTTATAATGACTGACAGAATCTTTTTTTTTCCTCACATGAGCTTCCATAAAAATATCCAACATTACTGCAGAAATGAACATGTTTACAGCGTGGTACAAAAAACTCTTTTGGCCTTTTGACTTAATATAATTAACCTGTTTAAATTAAATGATTACTGTTATCACTAATATTTTTATGACAGTGTATTATCTTCCACTCTTCAGCATTTCTCAGATAGCATTGTAGATTTATCCAAAAATGTCTTTGAGTGAATCCTCACTGAATGAATCTCCTCGTCGTTCCTTCAATGTAAAATCTCAACATGTTGGGTTCCAAGGCTCCCGTTGGCTGCCACATCAAGTCCCCGTAGAAAGAAACAAACACCCTGTTGGCACGCCGATTGCCTGGAGACCCTGAGAAGTGTCTGAGGCTCTGCTCAACTGTCAGCTCAGGTTTGTGTTATTTCTCAGGACGTTCGTTTTAACTGCCAGCAACAACAGGTGGGTGGGGTTTAAGATGCCAGGACGACTGGATCACAGAACCAGGAAAGGAAATAAAACTTTATTTGAGACGTAGTTTTTGTGCTGTACAGAAACATTTAATTTACAGACCTCTCTGTCTACATTTAGTATGAAGTAGCTCCAGAACCTCTGCAGCACTGCCATCAAACATCCGGTCCAAAGTGCATTAGAGGACGGACATTTCTTAACAAAACATTCTGGGAAGAATTTATTTTTCACTTAAAGCCTTTTCCGCTCTCATTCAGTCTCGTTAATCTCAAACATTAGAATAAATGAACCAGCAGAATACATGTGCATTTCTCTCTCTCTTTCACAACACACACACACACACACACACACACACACACACACACACACAGGTATAATTTGCACACTTCTATTGAATTCTTCCAGACTGCTTCCTGACACATCATTATTTCACTGGCTGTTGGATTTCAGTCGTTGTGATGAAATTTAGCTTTGGTTATTTTCATTTAATCGTAACAGTTGATTTGAGGTTGCGTCTTAAAGTTAAAAATAAAAATAATATTTTGTGTTGTTGATGTGAAAAGGTCAAAGTTTGGTTAGGATTCGCCACAGAAACAACTTGGTTAAGTTACAAGCATGACGTAATTGAAGCACATTAATAAAACTTATCTTATGTACTTTACTTCAAAGAAATTGTTTACTTTTGGTTTCACACAGGACACGACAAGTCCATCCATCCACACCACCACCTCCATATAGTGACTTTCTTGATAGTTTTACTATGTCACTTTGTTGGGGGGCATGTTCAGAAATGATGCTAGAGGGATACCCATAGCTAGGGATGAATACCAGTATCCCGTCCGATACTGAGCTCATGTAATCATAAAAGTACTCTGATACCGCACCTGATATCACTCTACAGCAGCGTGACGTTACATAATCTCTTGTGAGTTGAGCAGGCAGGTGAAGGAGAAGCAATCTGAGTTGCCTATTTACACATTCAGCAGATATGATGCATTAATATAGTTTATTTGGAGTGATGTTTGCAGGGACGGATCTAGAGATATGTGGTGGCCAGAGGGAGGCATAGAGACTTTAAGGGGTGGTAAAAATATATGCTGATTTAATCCCAAACAATCACATACAGTATATACACATATTGTCTTAGAAAAGCCCCCAAAAGTCCAGTATTCCTTTTCCTTTTAGTTGTTAAGGGAATTTCTGCCTCATTAGCTGCTGAATGTTTCCCTTTCTTCACTAACTAGTCTCTAACTGTGTCTGCTGTCTGGTGCTGGGCAGGTAGTGTGAACTGTGTTCATTAGAGCCCCCTAAGAGTGAACCAAAACAGCTCATTTTAGAACCAGAAAACCAAAAGAATGACCTGAAAAAAAGTTCATTCAACAACAACAGATATTTGTTGAAACTAATTTCATTAAACATTTAAGGTAAAACTCAATTTTGTAATTCAAAAAAAGCATTCTTGATCAAGTAAATTCAATAAATACTGTAAAAACAAAACACCCAGTAAAAATGACTGAATCAGGAATGTTTCTGTAACTAACAAAGAAATTAGTGTCACTTTTCTTGTAAAAGCTGATTAATCAAAAATGTTTTTTAACTTAAAAAACTGAATTAGTGTCACTTTTTTTGTTAAATCTTTTATGTAATCTTTTTTCAAAATTTAAAGTTAAAATAACTTATTGCATTACAGTGTAAAACGCTCCAAAAGCAGAGACGTCTGGTAATAATTGTTAATATCGATTATAGCCACGATCTCCCATTACACATACACAAAGCTGTAAACCTGTGATTGCACTTTATTCAGGGCACATAACAATATGCATCAATGTGGGGGCAACACATTCAGAAAAGTAACATTTGTTTGCATGTCAAAGCATCAGAAATACACAAATAATAATACAGATAAACAAAAGCAATCAAGAGAACTTAATTTAAGCAGCAATATTAAACCAAAACCCACATCAGAACATTTTACACACAAGATATAATTCAACACAACACAGTTTGATTCATTTCAGCACGTCACGGTCTTCCTGCTCATTTTCCTTTAGCGTTTATCATTTACTTCCAAATGTGTTTGACAGATTTTTTTATTTGTTTTCACCAAGCAAATAAACTTTAAGCAGCACCAGAAAGTTTTCTCATTCAACTTTTGTCCTCAGAGAACTTCCCCCTTTGCACAGTAACTCAACTGGACTCCTGAACCAAAGCAGTAACAGACTAAATTCAAGCGTTCACACAGGTGACTTTTTTTTCCTGGTAGGAGAACAGACCTCCTGATCCTTTGATCCCTGCTAATTAAAGTCTTTAATGTGTTAATTACATGTTGGTCCCCTTGGCCCCGGGCCCAGAGCTTGTACTCACAGACTGGGAGCAGTTTACCTCCATCCACTGATGGCTACTAACACATCCCCGTTTCTGTGTTTGTCTCTGATTGGATGAGTAGTTAACAGGGCTGACAGTCATTTTCTTAATCTTATTTGTCCAGGGAATATTGGCTCCTGTTTCACGTCACAAAGGGCTTCTGATTTATTAGACTGCTCAGCCTCTGATGGTTCTAATTAAACAGATCAGTGATAATACCTTTTAAAAATCCCAAATGATACAATATACTCTAATTCATCCCCTCTCTCTTTCTACCGTCATACGATATTTAGTGCTGTCAAATGATTAAAATATTTAATCACGATTAATTGCATTAATGTCATAGTTAACTCGCAATTAATCGCACATTTTTATCTATTCTAAATGTCCCTTGATTTCTTTTTGTCCCATTGTGTTTTCTCATTTTAATGCTCTTATCAACATGGAAAAGTGGATCGGCTTGCTTTGTGCAAATGTTGTTTTTATTGAAGAATCATCCATTGTCGCCTGGCTTTGACGAGGGGGCAGAGAATTCGCATCAGCTATGTGCTTGGCCATCAAGTGGTATTTCAGACTGGACGTGCTGCGATGATAGTTCAGTTCACAACGACAGAACACACAGATCACTTTGGTCTTGTCAATGGAACCATTTGGCAACTTTTTAAAAGTAAACTTTCCATTCAGAATATTATTGGCATTCATTTTGGCGTCTCGCCATCCACTCAAAACGTAACGTCTACTACTCTTAAACAAGTGTGTGCAGCGTGCCTGTTGTTTTGTTTCCGGTCTAGCTAGATCCGGTGTGGTGTTGTAGTTCTTCTAACGTTAGTAGTTGTTGCAACAGCATGTGAAAAAAACTCCAAAGTGTGCTAAGCCAAAAAGAACGTTAATCTTGCGATAAAAACGTTTTACGCCGTTAAAATGGGTTTGCGCTAACGCCATTAATAACTGACAGCACTAACGATATTAAAAACTTATAAATGATGTTCAGTTTGAGCTGCAGTGTGCATTATAGTGTTGCAGTTGAGATAGTTGTTGTACCTTCTGTTCTTTCTCTGCAAGGTTTATTTCCTACATTTGCCAGAGTGCATCTCATCAGAGAATATCTGCATTTAGCTGTGGATTAAAGTACAAAGCTGTCATTCTGTTTTCCTTATTACCAACAAAACCCATGTGCACATCCAAACCAACAATGTTTTAGTCTGTCACTCAATACTTTCTTTCTCAATTTTTAAAAACAGCTTACAAATGTTCTACAGTTTCTTCCCTCAAACAGCTGCTCACTGTAACCTGTGGAAATAGTGCATTGTGCTGGGGACTATTTCCAGCAGCGGATTTATCCACATTTGGTGCTATAGTGAATATTTGGGGCAGCAGAACGGCGTATAAATAAACTACAGTGTATGTGTTCATGGTAATGAAGGAACAGTGTGGCTCATTGATGTGTTGTCAATAGTTTTTGGACAGCAATGGAGCTCCATGGCACAGAAGAAGAAGATATATCAGCTCGTTCTCACTTCCAACTTGTGAAATATGGCAGCTTAGTTGGTCAGTGCCTTGTTTTACACCAGGGCAAGTACCCATCTAGCATCATTTGTGGACAGGCCTGTCTGGCATAATGTTTTGATGTGCTGTTGAAGTCGGGAACACAGGATTAAGAGCTCAAAAGTCCGGGTTTGGAGGAGGTTCGAGTGGATGGAGGGGTGAAGCAAACACAGGACTTCATCCAGGAAACGTTCGTGTCCCGTTTTAAACCAAAAGTTAGCCTTAATTTCTCTCAATCTTTTCCTAAACCAAGTAGTTTTTGTTCCTGACCTTAACCAAACACTGTTTAAACTCTCAGTAAGCTTTATATTGAAAGTCTAACCAGATGTTGCATATCAATTGCTGCTAACCTTGAACACTGACACTAGAGGGTACAGCGTCCTAGGCTGAAGCGTAGCTCTACTGACCAAACGGTTGGCTATATCAGGCTTTGACACACACATAATACTTGTTAGTAGATGCATTCATAGCTGGTTTTGGTCTTTTCATGGGATTTATTGATAATAAGAAACATATATTACCAGACATGCTTTAAAGATGCCACACTAAAGAGCAACATTTATTTTTTCTAACTGACAAAAACAAGATGCATTAATCAGTCTATTATGTGGGGATTTCTCCCTGCATTATTGTTGAACTTAATTTGTATAATAATCTTCATTTTTCCCATTTATTGATGCCATTTCTTCATTTCTCTGCAGATGGAAACTGCCCTTTCCCTGATATGAACTATACAGGCATTTGCAAAACATAACAGAAAGCAAGAATATGAAATAAAACTAATATAATAATTCATGTTCTGGTCTGTCTGTTCCTGCCAGTGCTGACCTGAAATGCTCCATCTGAACACAGCAGTAGAATAACTGTTAGCAGCAGGAACAGCTGTCTGCATTAAAACCCATTATTACAGAGTGGATGGGAGGGTGAGGAAGGGGGACGCAGGAGGGAGACAGACAGAGAAGCTGTGGGAATAGATAAAGAAGAGATGGAGGAGAGGGATCGAGTCAGAGGGAGAAGAGAGCGTGACAGACAATACAGACGAGCAAAGAAAAACTGAGGAGGGAAACATAAGAGATATAAGAGAGAGAGAGTGTGAAGCAGAAACCAGACTGTACGTCTCTAGCTGTCCGAGCTGCCCTGTGAGGCAGCTACTGCTCATAATGTTTAATGTGTCACTAAACATTATGAGCATCCATTATCACACAAACTGATATTAATATCGGAGTTTAAAACAATCTGATCACCATATATCAGCTCATAACTGAACTTCTGTCTGTATTTGACAACCAAAGCAAACCAGCGGCGGTTCCAACCTGCAAACATTCTGAATGTAACGAGGCATTGATCATAAATCACCCTAAAACACCCCCTGAAACAAATAAAAAGTAGTCCCGTTTGATAGAAATACAGCCACACTTAGAGAAGGACAGATTTCAACACTGACGTTGTGTTTTCTCATTATTTCTGTCATTGCCACAGTTAGATAGATTGGTGCAATTGGATGCACGGATGGCAGCCATTATCACAGAGGGAATTATTATTTCTTGCATAATAAGTACTAAGCTAATTTTATGCTTAGATGATTAAATTAAATACTGGTTATTGCCTGTCCCATTTTAATAACATGCACAGTAGTTTCCATCCCTTCAATCCAAAATATGTCACAGTTTCAGTTTGTGGAAACTCTTGTGCTGTCAGACATCTATGAACTGGCTTGTGACAGATTAAAGGTCCAGTGTGTAACATTTAGGAGGCTTTATTGGCAGAAATTGAATATAATATTCATAGGTATGTTTTTATTATAAGAGTATAATCACCTGAAATCTGTACAGACACCACGGGCCAACCTCCATGAGTCCACTGTGTTGAACAACCATGTTTCTACAGTAGCTCAGAAGGGACAAACCAAACCCTTCTCCTTCCAATCCTTGATGCTTGGAAGAGGAGGGTGAGTCTGTAATAACACCTCTGGATGTAACTAAATCCTACACGCTGGACCTTTAAATGTTGGACCATGAGGAAAACCCTGGGTGGGGCGAGCTGTTCAAAAACTATTGTTCGGTTATCTTTGTTATATTGTATGTGGTACAATGGACCAATGAGAACCAAGAAGACGAGAAATATATCACTCATGGTTCAAGAAACAAAGCCAAAACATAAAATGCTTTACATATGGCAACATGGTGGCACTATTAGGTTTAGAGATGCACCAAAAACTAATTCATCTTTCTTCTGTTGCCAAATGTGCCACCAAATTTGATTTAAATCTGTTTGAGATATCCAACAATTTTAAAAACTGGAGCACGGTTGATTAAGATACCAATATGCGCTTTTACCTGCTTTAAATGTATCTTAATTTTGGTGCTTTCAGACAGCGAGCAGTTATTGCTGACGGCAACGTTGCTGTTGAATGATCTGAATCGCCGGCAGCAGGGCACAAATTTGAATGGAACAACACACTTACCCAATCCCATAGAACAGGATTGAAAAACATATTGCGAGGGGAACGCTAAAGTAGTCTTGTGACCCTTTGTACGGGTTAGATCTAGTAAAACAGTCCCATTATAGATACGGTGTGATGCTCAGTCTTGCTTCCAATTTTGCCCAGTGGCCACTTGCAGTATTAAACATTCCCCTACAGGCCATTTAGCATTTTCCTAATAGACCACCATTATAAAAGAGACCTGACAGGACACCACCAACTGCAGACAAGGTCAATTATGAATCTTTATGATTTTTTTTGTCTATGGAGGTTTTAAAATTGTATTTGTAAAACTTTCCTTGAGCCAAGAAAAGCAAAATCTTTGACATCCTCACAATTAAAGTCTATCAGCTAAGCAGGGACTCAGAAGAAGTAAATGCTTTTTTTTGTGGCATATGTGTATCCAGTTCTCATTGGATTGGACAGGCACCATCCCGGCAATAGGGTATCTAGTTATTATATATCTATGATTTGTCAGTATCAAATTATCAAACTGTGAAGCTGATGTCACTCTCACATTTTTATATTGATCTGTTTTGAAGAGATGTATGAATCAGGGAACTCATACCGGTTAAATTAGCTCCTGTATCATTTTCCTTCTGTTGTTGCCGTGGTCACAGGGTGAGCCATGGTGACACCTGTTAGACCTGTTGTATTTAGTGTGTGAAGCAGGGCGGTGCTGAAACCATCAGAGTGATCAGGAGATTAAAGCCCCATTGTGAGTCACGTCAAAGTGTCTGAGCGAACCCATGTCCTCACTTGTCATGAGTCTGTCTCGATAATGTCCGGAAAATGGGATGAAAATGTAATTATTCAACTTCCCCCCAGTTAATGACACGTCAAAAGTTTTGAGGAGCCAACAGCTGTCTGGCTACCCACAGCTCCACTGCTGTTTCCTACGGACATATGACAACCACCAACAGGTGCATTGAGACACTTTGACACCCACCTGTTATGTACTATAATTTCAGCTCCACTTACTCCTGATTGTCCATTGAAGAGCTAAAAGCCCAAAGTGACAACCAGTAGTTAGACTGCCCTGAAACGTGTCCTGTCTCAACCTTTAGTGTTGCTTTAAAAAAACTCAACATTTATTTCTATTAAAGTACGGGAAAATCGTTGCATCCTGGGACTTGATGTGTGCATATGTGTGCTCAAATAGGAAAATGTATTATGTGCCTTTATGAGATTCAAGCATAATTTTCAAACACAGGAACGTGACACATGCCTGGCACTGAAGAACACATCAAACATTTTAAAGAAGAAAAACAACAACATCAAAATGTGATCAAAAGTACCTCACATGATCAGATTTTTCTGAAAGTGGTTGTTTTGAATATACAACACGTTACCTGTCAATTCATGCCAAAACTGCAATGCAAAGAACCAACACTTATCCTATACACAGGTCTGTTAGTCTGTGCATCCACCAGGAACCGCTCTTCACCATGTCACGTTCTTTAGTGACTTATTTTTAAAGGGGAATAAACTTGTGTGTTTGCAGGACTTTTGACAGGTTTTTTGGCACTCGGGAGCACCAGATGCTAGAGCAGTGGTGGCCATCTTGTGCTGCAGAGCACTGGGAAAACTCAGATTATCTCAACACATGACACATGAGTGGTTTTACTTTGGTTGAAAGCAAATGCAGGTAGCAGGATTATTGCAGTATGTCTAAAAGGCTGAATAATTTGCCACTTTATGAATATCTTTACATATTTATATTTCAGTAAAATTCATTCCTGTCTTATAGTGTTCAATTAGGTTCAACTTTATTTGAAAGCAATTTTTAATAATTTACTAGAAACTACTGTTTTTCTGGAATGTAATTTATTACAATTTATAGGCTGGAGCTGGGATACAATCTTGAAGTCACCTACTGGACTCTGTCCACGAAACAGAATCGGTGACAAGGCACGACTCTTGCGGAGTCTATTACCTACTGAGAATGTGGTTGATTTCCTGCCGAAAATATGGACACTAGACATGGGACGATATGAGAATTTCATGTCAGGATTATCCTATATATCGTGAATCACAAAGTATATTGATGATTAAAATGGGACTAAAACATACTGGACATTAACTTATATTTTGTTAAGAAACATATATTGTTATTGCATCACCGATAGGCACCTCATTTCCCTGTCATTCTTTAGTTTGACAGGTTTGGGGTTTTTGAATGATACAGGCTCGCCTTGTGGCAATTAAAAAATAAATCAGGAAATCAAAACTGTATGTTAGCGAGCTAAACCGCTTCCATCTCAGCGGACGATGCGTTGAGCTGATTCGCCAACAAGCAGGTAAGGGTTGGCTGCAGAGAAAGGTCTGCTGCACCCGTTACTGCCGCACTGACTGCTATTGATATGTGGTGCCAGATGACAGGACAGGGGTCGATACTGTAGTATGGACACAAGTCACTCAGTGACATTAAAGTACCGAAGTTCAGTACTTATAATTTTCTCAGCGGCCCCTTCCTTCCTCCTTCAACAATCTGCCATTAGCTATCAGAGTCGTAGCTGGTGGACACAGAGAGTAACAGAAACCACAAACCAAACATTTACCAAAGAAGTTTTCCTCCACACAGAGAAATATTTTGGTTTACAAGGCTTCGGGTAGTTTTTAACTGCTACAACGCTTTCCATTCATTTCCAAAACAGTTCAAAGAGAGATCATCCCAAACGTTCAATCCTCCAACGGTCCCAAGCATTCTCTGAAATGTCTTTGGATAAGAGGTTGACTCGCTAATGTCTCTGGGGATGTTGCTCTGTGTCTGATCCTCCTTGACAAAATTTGCTCTCTCTGTGGATCAATACAGTGTCACCAAAGATGAAAATGGCTTTTTTAGATCAATCAGCGATGAACATTCCAGCAACTGAGCACAGAGAAACAAGCTTTCACAGCAGACATGCTAGTGTGGTAACCATGCTAGTGCTAGTGTTTGCAAGTTCTTCCAACACCTCGAGTAAGATATTTACTTTTAGCAAACATATTTAAATATATCTGGAGAATTGTAGCCGTAGAAAAGTTAAGTATTGGGTTTTGCTGTTCCCTTCGATGTGTGACCTTATATTTCCAATATTTCCAAGAGGCACTTTTTGTTTGGTTGCCCAGTTGAGGATGTAGATTACAAAGTCCGATTTGACAGGAGGACTGGTACAATCATTCAACCGGACAAGGCCTGTAAAGTCTCCTCCATCCATCCACTACACTTTGCACCAAAATACCTCTCCTGGTCTGTAACTGCAGGAGTCCTACGTTTGCAGAGCTGCCGGGATGAGGTGAAGCTGAAAATCACAGACTCACAGCCTCCAACTTCACAGAGCCACTTCTTGTCTGTTGGAGTTGCCGTTGGCTGCTGGAGCGATGATGGCGGCGGTGGGCGTGGTCTTCTTGATGGACGTGAGGCGGATGTGGGAGGTGCTATGCATGTAGCTGGCCTGGCGCTCGGGACGGGGACCTCGACCACATCGCAGCTGACTGAAGAAGAAGAAAGAGTTACCTTAGTGTCCCAAACGATTTGTCAATGAAGAGAAAAATCACAGAATATCTTTCGGTTTTTGGATTGTTGGTTCGACAAAGAAGCAATTAAAGACGTCATCTTGACATTTTAACGGACATGTTTCACTGCTTTCTGAAATTTCATACACTAAATGTTTAGTTTATTAACTGAGAACTTAATAATATTAATTGTTCTGAAAATAATCCCTATCCCTCAGAATCCTTACAATGCTGAATGCAATTATGGAAAACTTACCAAATCAAAGTTAAAAATTGTGATATTTCATCAAAATTCGTTTAGTCGGCATGTTGCCAAAATTAAACCATTGGCACTAACCAGATCAGGTCAAGTGACAACAATTCAGCCAATAAGACTGCAGGATGTGTTAACAGAGGAAGAGCAGAAGACAAGCATGGAGTACTGAGCGCTTTCAATTAATAGTAGTTTGAAAATAGTGTATAGACTCCATTGTTTATGAAAAATAAATTAGCAAAGAAATTCAACTCGCTGTTTTTATTTTTTTATATGATTTCTAACATTCTGACAGCTTTATACTGCACAGAAGACATTTTTGAGTTCTCTTCTAGCCACAATTGTGTTTCCTTAGATTCAGAATCAGAGTCACTTTTATTGGCCATGCAGGTATGTTTACACATACAGGGAATCTGACTCCGGTTTCACATTGCTCTCAATGTCCATACACAGAAATACACATACATACAGCAAAGTGATAATAACGACAAGCTTGAAAGGGTAAACATAGAGGTGCCGGACTTACATATTACAACATCTGGCCCAAATGGGCTCCATTTGTTTTGCCCACTCTGAGCTCATGCTATCATTTCCCATTAGTGACCCAACCAGTACCCACATATGGAGCCCACATGGGTTCGGCCCATGTTGGCTGGTAGTAAGCAGCCCAGAAACTGCTTGGGGTTGTAGCCCAATGGAAAGCCAGCAGCTATAAAGGATGTTCATTTTTACAGGAAAAAACAAAAACTCCAGTACTCAAACTTTGTACTGTGTGTCTGTGTGGGTGTATGGACAGATTTAGTTTTTCCTAAAGTAACAATCCTAAGAAAAAGGGAAATAAATTTAGTTAACTAGCTCCCTGGGTACAAAAAGTGAATGCTTAACATTTCTGTACTTAATGGAAATCCTCACATTTGGTCCAATAACATCGTTCAGTTGAAACTTCCTTCTGAGTAATAAGAAATAAATCCAAAGACAGGTGAATTACGGTGCGCGCTTCATGCTACAGCACCATTATAATTGCTTCCCAAAGGCACATTTTATTTTTCCTACCTATTCTCTGCTGCTCCTGAGGTGTCAGGATTTGCCTGCAAATCTGACCCAAATGAAAGCCTAAAGCCCGTCCCCAGGTTACTGTGTCTCACTGCGACTGTCACCGTTTTTGGGAGGATTGTGCCGGTTGGCGTGAAGAGTTCTGAAGAGAGTTTCCATCATACCGAGGTAGAATGATGATAAGTTGCAGGAAGTTTAGTGGAAGTGGGAGCACTCAAAAGGAGATTTAGATAATGACGAAGACATGATTACTTTTGCGACGAGGTTATGGAGTCCATTTACAGTGGAAAATTAAGTACTCGCCGTCTGTTTTTTTTTCTTCCTGAATCTGTTTCTGAGTGTGCAACATTTCTACAAATGTTCAGCCTTCTGGAAAGTTTTGATTAGTCTACATTTGCATTTTATCATGGTCTGTACACAGAATGCAAAACATCAGCAACACCCTGCCAATACAGAGCAGCAGCAGAAGCCAAGTCCCAGCTGTCTGCAGGAGTTTTGATCTACATCCTTCCAGCATCTATATATCTTAATATTTGCATTTTATAGGCGCAGTCAATAAAGAAATAAAGAATTGTGCAAGCATTCTTCCTCTACATGTTTTCCCTCTATATTAGCATTATTTCAGAGTTGTGCTTGTATCAGCTCATTCATTCATGCATCACAGTCACCGGCCCAATACAGGACTGTATGCTGGTGAGATAGATGATAAATGTTTCAGTGTTTTTATCGCCTTAATAATACCGTATATCGTCCCATCCGTCATGATCAATAAAGAACTTCAATTTAATCTAATCGAACACTGAGAGCGTATGTGTAAACTGTGACTATGTTTACATGCTCAATATATTCAGTTTTTTGCCATTATTCCCGTAGCTGTTTATGTGGCTAATGAAAATGACTATTCTACTAGTATCCCTGTTTACGTGCAGCTATGCATACTCCGATTAACCCTAACTGTTAATGACGTACTGTGTATCCTACAGAGGAGTTTCACTCCTTTTCAAACTGCAGTCATGTTGATCTCGTGGTAAAAGTTGAACAGCTTGGGACATATTGCCTCTTTGCATCAAAAGAGAATTTTTTCAAAGTTGTCCACCGGTGACGAACACAGACTTCCTCTTTCAAGCTTTCAACTACCATCTTGAAATGATTGGTGTTGCAACATTTGCCCATATCCAGAAACCTGCTGATATCTGAGTCTTTCATAACGTTTAACAATAGGTGTGTTTCTCCTTCCGAATAGAAATGTGGGCTTTTCTATTGTGAATGAATCTCGACTCCAGCCTCACAAACTGTGCTAAAACCCCAAATGAGATGCATATTCTGAATGTTCTGTATACATGTCCAAAGAATGCTGCTAAAACCTGAATGATATTGACACATCTCACATGTCTTAATCTAAAAATGCTCCATTTGGTTTGAGATCTAATTAGGAATATCCAAACAGAATTTGCTGCTTACATTACCTTTATGAAATGTGCAATATTTTCATATTGGTAATAACAGTGCAGAATTAGGGTGCATATAATCGTAGTCCTTGTGACAGTCCCTCTGCATCCACACTGTGCTGCTGCTGTGCTTTCTCTCTCTCCAGGGCTGCAGATAATTAGGAGGCTTAATCAGCAGCATGGGACACACCTGGACTCAATGTGCTCCATGTGTAAAGCCAAAGCAGCCTCTTTACAGCACAACATCCATTCAGTGCATATTCACTCATCCACTCCCTACACTGCTGACTTTATAGATTCCTCCCATCCGTTTGTTTGTTTTTGCTTTTTGGGCTTTTTGTCGTAAATAGATTACTTTGTTATCTAGTTTACTCCTGTGTGAACTGAGATTTATCTACAAAACTAAATAACCTTTTGCTGTAAATGACCAATAATCAGTTCTCCCCCCCTTACAGAAAAACACATAATTTTCCAATGTTTACAATCGAAGTGATCAAATGTAGTTAACATGCTACTAAATGTTGTAACACAATCATATAGGTTTCACATGGGCTTCACACATTACAAGGACTTTTTTTTCCCCAAAACAACATTTCACCACAATATATTGTTGTATGTGTTTTTCCTGTAAGGCCAGCATCTTGCAGGCTTTTTCTGGCAGCTTTTCTTAAACAATGTGATGCATGTTGCGATGGTTTTAGGCTTCTTTTTTTTTTTTTGCAATCCAACTATGAGAGAGTAGTATGCAGAAGATTACAGACTTTTAAGATTTACAGATCTGGTTACAAATCCATAAACTTATATACAACTGGATCTTTCTGGTTACAGGTTACAGCTCTTATATACAATGACTGCTAACTAGCTTTTCACAGTGAATGTAGTTTTAGTGGACAGAGTTAAAGGCTAGACCGCAGTACGGCAGGATCCAGAAACTCTTGTTATATCCGACCTGTTGAAGTGCCTGCGGAAGCTCTCGCTGAGCAGGTAGAGGGCGAAGGGGTTGACGCAGGATGAGGAGAAGCTGAGGACTCTGGCCAGCAGGGTGATGACGAGGTGAGCCAGCGACAGGTCCATCTGGTGGTAGTGGAAGGAGCGGTACATGTAGAGGACGTGGTTGGGGAACCAGCACAGGGCGAACAGGCCCACGAACACCAAGACGATCTTGGCCAGGCGCTTCCTCGTCTCCATCTGGAGGAGTGGAGATAAAAAGACACAATGAGAAATAATCCACTGGGATGGACGGTTGAGAGATAAAGAGATTCTGTAGCTCATTCATTTCAGCCTGATACTAACTGCAGCTCAACGGCATATTTTACATTTTATAGTTGGGGAGCTGCTACAACTTGTCAGTGAGAGCTTTGAGTTCTTAATGTGATACTATGTGTATCATATCCTGCAGATACAATTCAGAACCATTTGGCCTTGACCTGAACAGAGTATTAGGAGAGGTACATCATCAGTGCAGAGTGCAAAATACCTGGTGGCAATAAGAGGGTTCCCCCTACCTAATGCTCTAGTGGTCTAGAACAGACTCAATTCTCGACTTACAAGATTTCATCAATGCAAGCCTAGGGTTAGGGTTAGACATGGGTTAGAAGTTAGGGTTACCCATACACGCTTTGCTAACACATCACTGATGCTAATATCGTTTTTGAAGATCCAGACTCAACCTGTCTGGTTCTAAACTTTGCCAATGTCAGAAATAATCCAGGTAGAAATCCTCTAACTGCTAAAATACTGAGTTACAAATGGCTTTCGATTATTCATTGCAGCTTCAAAATCCATCATGTACAAATGCTTAAAAGCAAAAATAATGATTCAAACAGTAATGGTTAAAAGCAGTTATTTTACACCAACAATCACTCATTTGGGTGGAAAAGCGTAATCACGCTTGACAAGGCAAAAGGTTTGACTCCCAGCAGACCTGCATGCTAAAAGCTTCCTCCAAATGTCTGATGATGAAATGGACAGCAACAGAAAGGGATGGATGGAAGAGGACGGATCAGGAATCATATCTAAACACCAAATGCATTGCGTGTGCAGCGACGTACCAGGAGTTTGACCTTGTCAGTCGGATGCTCAGAGATTGCCAGAGACATATGAAAAAGGTCAGTTATGTCACTCATGCACTTTACACGGGTCAACCCTCTCTGCACGTAAGGATGCAACCCAACACAAACACAGAAATGTCAACAGGGTTTTTCGAAGTGCTTCTTGGTGTATTGCAGACGCAATATCAGACCTTCTGACCTTCGTATGTACTCGCTCCTGATGGTAAACTGATGGAGAAAATTCAGAGCTGGATGTTGCTTCTAGATCCATTAAGTGCACAAATTAAACCCTGAGGACCACATTAGGCCTTCTCACCCCGAACGTACAGTAGATACAAAGAGAAACAGAAAACAGAACATTCACATACGGTGTGTTGTTGACACACTGGGCTGCATGGATATTTCTCTCCCGCTAACTGCATTTGATATTTCTGTGAATCATTGAACTTGACGGCACTGCAGTGAACTGGAAGGACAGACAGTTTGTCAGTAGCAATCAACCGGTGCAGCGATGCACAATGAGTTGATCATACTCTGTGCTGTTGAGGCTCTCCTATGAGTCATTTAGAACATGTTGGACTTCACTTTGAAATAAAATAAATCTTCAGCTGTGAAGCACACAGGATTTACATGCACATCAAAAACACAGGATTAATGTCCAAAACCACATGGTGCCTCTTGCCAACAAGATTCATTCACAACTTCTTGTAGAATATTAAAATGCCTAAAGATAAAGAATCAGGACGAGAATTAGATTTTTACTGAAACTCCTCTAACGTATGTAGAACTTGCACAGACTTCCAGGACTATTAAAAGATACATGAATATGTAAATGTAATATATGCACTGATAAATTAGAACCTTAGATTTTTTTGCAAAATGGAAATTATTCTGCACCTCATGATTTATGTCCAATGCCAACACAGGTAGTACTGTACCCTTTATGTAACCATGGATGTGTGTAACATTAAGGAGGAGGAGTTGTCTTACACCCTTTTAAAATCAAGAAGGCTTTGCAATCCCACATGAACCTTTGGTAAACCGTAGTAGGGGTCGGGACCCTCAGGTTAGGAACCAGTGTATGAAAATATTTATATTTCATTTGTGTAATTATACAAAAAATGGCTTTCTTGGCTGGATACATTCACAACCTAAAACTCCTCATTTTTCACAAGAAAGCAAATAATGAAAAATTAACCCTTTAATTTCATTTTTCGAACAAGTAGAGTTAATTTCTGATGACGCACATTTGACCCTCTGGCACCTCTGGAATGCTCACCTGATGCAATGCCATCAAAAAGTAATTGCACACAGTAAGAAGATTATCTGAGTTTGGTGAAACACTGGATGGAGGAGGATTACATTTGTAGGAGCTACTGTTCACAATGATGATTCTTTAATTAATTTGATTCTGCCGAGTGAAGAACAAATGGAGGTTCCAGCTTATCATTTAGTTTAACAGCACCCGACGGCGGCTCACCTTGACTGACTCGCCCGTTAAAGACGAGAAACAGTAAATTAAAAAAAAAAAAAAAAGTTAACCAACAGCAAACTCTGCTGATTACGGAGCCAGGATCATCTCTGCTCTCCAGGCTGGCTGCTTCTGATTTGTGTTTGCTCTGATTTGCTGCCAGTGGTCGGGCAGAGTTTGGCGTTTTTCCCAAGATCCTTTTAGGCACCTGCAGCTCTGGGCCACAACTCATCTGGAAGGGTGGATTAAGCGAATTTGTGTATATAAATGTGTGCGTTTTCAAAGGTATGAATAGACTTTCTTACTTGTGCAAGAACATGCAACTTCATGTGCTCGCGCTGTGCATGTCTGTATTCAGTACGCACAGTATGCTGCTGCTTCTGCGAGTGTATTCAGATGTCTGTAATAGAGTTTCTTTTCAGCTCATTGATGATAAATCTTCAGAGGTCTCCAGCAGAGCCGCTAACCGCCGCCTTTGTTGCCAGGAAGGAAGCCTACAAAGCCACCTGGGAGTTGCGGGCTGCCAGCTCCCATTAGAGGCACGTTTGAGACGGATCGACACCTGAGGTGACTGAGGTGCAGCGAGCTGTCAAGTTGTCATATTTCTATTACGCTCCAGATGCTGAAAAATGCTGCCAACATTTCTTCATTTGCGCACTTGTTATCCTGTCGGGTTTGCAGAGGATAGAGTCTCCCATCATGCACTCAAACATTATTCTGCGTCTGTCACTCCATTCCTTTTAACTTCTGATGGTTAAAAACCTGCTACACACAAGTCCTGGCAGTAATAGAAAGAAAAATAAAAAGCTCAACAAAAGGTAAAAAAACAGATGAAAATATCTCTGACGCACTCTGATTAAAGTGTAAACAGAGAACTAAATGCGGGGATAAAGTGTGTTTTCATGGTAGTGTGTCAGTTTCCAAGAGATGGAAGGGAAAATGTGGCTGCTGTTACTGTCAGTGGGTTACATTGTGTCTCTTTATTGTCTCGACAAATAGATGAAAATTAGCATCTACTTTCTGCTCAGTCCATTTGCTGCTCAAAACAATGAGAGAATAGCAGGAAGCTTCATTTGTCTTGGGTTGTATTTACCATCTGAGTCACTAATTATGTCTAAATACCGTCCTCTCTTATTGTCATTACGGATGTATCAGTTGAAACTGTCTTGTTTTCTTCCAAATGCTGAGCGAATTTGAAGCAAACTTTTGAAATGTTGCGAAAGAGAAAATACAAATTAGATGCGTTACCACCGTCGGGTTTGAAGCGAATAAATTAGGCTGCAGTGTAGTTTTATCAGAAGTTGGCGGTATCGGCCGCGTTACGCTTGGCTGTAATAAACAGAGTAGAAGGAGCAGAGGTTGCAAATCAGGAAACAAAACTAATTGTTTGCAAACCGCCAATAAACCTCAAAGAGAAGAAACAAAACCGGTCGCCTAGGCAACATTTTGAGTATGTTTTCTTGAATTTCACCCTTGGCTGCGCACTTTCAACTCGTCCATATCAGGAAACAATGGCGGCTCGCCTGGTCACACACGATCTGGTATTCCAGATAAACAGTTAAAATGTGTTTGTGAACAGATTTGAGGAGAGAATTAGTCAACAACAGAATCTGGATCCATATCTGATCAATACTGTTTGACAGTTTGATCTGAGTCCTTTTTTCCTCTTCCTTTTAAAAAGAAAGTTTTTTTCTTTTTTTAATTTAAAAATTTTTTTTTTTTTTTGTTTTTGTTCCACCAGGGGATTTTTTAAGGCCCCCCTTTCCCTTTGAGGTTTGGGCGTTGAGCTGGACGGACTCACTGAGAATGAGCTGTCAATCACAAGGTAGCCCCGCCCTAAAGCATACCCTGCTTTATGGTCTGTTTTACTCTAAATGGGACCATCAGTTACTAAATGAACATCATGCTGTATGGAAGAAGACTGAAACTAGAGACTGAGACCAGAAACTCATCAGGAAACTGTTTACTGAGGGAATAAAATCAGGTGAGAAGTTGCTTTTGTGTCTTTATATTCTTCTATTTCCAGATTCTATTCATTTCTTCCAATAAGAAAGCATTCGTTTCAGCACCTGTTATTAGTTATTATAGCTCACACCTGTAACTGTCTGATGAAGAGTTCAGACTTCAGATGCTGCTTTGAAGTGCTGATTACAGTGTTTGTCCACACGGATCAAAAGGTCTTCACTGAAGAGCTGCAGGTCCATCATGTTTAATGACTTTAAAGTTTCTAAAGAGACACAACTGCTCATCTTCAAACCGACAAAGGAGACTGGTTTGTTTCTTAATCTCTTTCCCAGCTGTACGTCATTATCTTTCTCCATGCTGCATTCGTGCGACATGTTAACATCCAGACTTTATGGTTCAAAGAAGCTCTCGTATCCTGTTCAAACCCTTGAAGACTGAAGTTTTCCCCAGAAATCTTCAGTCGTGGCGTCAATCATGGGAAAATCTAATCTTGCTTTGGTTTCTCCTGATCAGCTCTCTTCCCTCTGAGCGCACAAATCAAGTTTCAGGTGATTCATCTGAGTTGAGATTTTCCAGCGACTCAATCACTGCAACGTCAAGCTTAAAAGGAAAATCAATCTATTTGTTTGTCTCCAGGCTTGTTGTGATTTGTAGTGACAAAATGAGTTATGTAAATTCTCTCTTTTATTCATTTGATTGAA